ATATATTCTATATATATAAAACAAATAATTATTTAATATGTATATATAGATAGTTATCACTATTATAAATAGTCTAAATATTTAAATTTTATTTAAGTAGATATGATAAAAATAGAAAAAGATATATATGGAATGTTTCTAACTAAAAGAATACATTTTTACAATTTTTCAAAAGATGAGATTCATGTAAATTTTGACACGACTAACATTTTTCAATTATAAATAAAAGTCGATTTGCCTAATAAAAAAATAAAAATGTAGCAAGGCGAAACACATCACGAGATTACCTGATAGCTACATATTATCTTTAACTAGGGTTAGAGGCATGATGTTCTAGGCATGCTTTAGAGGCATGCCTCCTACTCTTTTATATAGAAAAACCTTACATATGAAGTTTCGTTGTTTGACTAGTCAATTATCATAGTTGATTTGACATAAGTTAGGTTAATCAATTATGATATCTATGCCCTAGAAAATTGCAGTATCATTACACAAATATTGTTTTTTCTGGGTTAGTGCACAAAATCTACCGGGATTTCCGGTTGATTAAGACATGATTCCGGCGTAGTTTTAAGCGGTCGGAAATTTTCCATTCATTTTACAAATTTCAACTTGAAATAATGTTGATAGAAAAAAAAGCAGGTTACATCACTCCACAATTTTGTGCACTGTTCTGGGAATGTTTCAGCTGACCTTGAACGTCCTAAAGCGGGGGTAATTTCATATGGTATTGAAGCTACAAAAAAAAAGATCTTAGGAAAATCAATAAAAATCATAAGAAAATACAAATTTCAAAAAAGCTATTCTACAAGATTTTATTAAGACAACTGCTTTTGTACTTTAAGTGAAAACTAATTCTGATCTTATTCTAAATTGATTTATGCAAAAAAATAGCGATAGGTTTTAAAAAATTTGTTGATTTCCCTCTTTTCTGTAGCACCAAGCCCATATAGTAATCGACATGCATTAGTCGATCAGGACAGGTTGCGAATTTCTAACGGAAAAAAAGGCAAAAAAAAGTACAAATATGAATAATACGAGAAAATGGATGTTTAAACCTACTTTTGAGTACTAGTAAAAAAATGCCGGGGAGGAAATTTTACATATAATACCACCCTTACTCTAACTCCAACCTAACCCTAACACTAATTTAATTAAATAAGTGCGTTTACCCCGCTTTAGCGATCCTCAAATAAGATATATTATTTAGCAAATCCTAAAAACGGTTACACGAATATCATATGTCAATTAGCCAATCAAATTATAAATTTAAAAAATTAATTAATATCGTAAAGTAAAAAAAAATCGTAATATTATATATTTGTTTCTATATATTTGCTTCTACGTTCGCTCTACGTCTAATCCATAACTCTAATATAGATAAACACACTATACTACTATTATTACATTGGAAAAAATTATTCTACGTTCTAGTACACATATCGTATCGAGTATAGATGCTTTATTTATTTAAATGACTACAAAAATATTATAAAAAAAGTAGTTAGTTATACGTAGATCTTATTAAAACTCTTTAGAGTTTATTCAATAAACAATAAAACAACACTGTCTTTTTATTTTTGCTAAATTATTATCTTTTTACTTCGTTTTTTCTTTTTTGCTCAAACGTGAGATTTCACCAACTTAGCTTACATATATACCTTTTTATATACTAACTTTGTCAAATAAATTTAATACGAAGGTCGAGGGTAGAGGTTGGAACCGGGTTTAAAAATTCGAGTTTATCACATAAAAATTCGAGTTTATCACACTAAATTCGAGTTTATCACATCAATAATTAATGATTTATGTGATAAACTCGAATTTTAAACCCGGTTCCAACCTCTAGTCGAGGGATTAAGAGGAATTAAGTTGATATTATTATAATATAACAAGAAAACTTCAAGTTTACTTAGTACACTTTGCTAGGTTTACATTATATGATTAACTTTTGTATTACTTGCTATATATCATATTAATAATTTTTTCACTTTATTTCTAATTAAAGTTATAAAATATTTTTTGTTTTAGCCTATTAATCAATAAAATTTAGCAACTTAACTAGTAAGTAAGTATAAACATCAGATTCTATATAATATCAAATACGTATACTATTACTGTACTTTAAGTTAGTAAAATCGAAATTATAAAATTTATCAATAATCCAAATTTAAAAATATTATTAAATTTTTTTGTTATAATAAAAGAGATACAGTATTATAAAAAGATTATGTAAAAAGTATTTGAAAGCTATATTTTAATTTTATTTATTTCGCGATATATGGGCGGTTAAAAGTGGAATCAAGGAATTTATACCTAAACTTTAACAGCCAACATTAATAAATTTTAAAGCTATTTCGATAATTTAAAATGAGAAGATTTAAAGTTTCTTATCAATTTTAAATTATCGGGATAGCCTTAAATTCATGAAGATATTGGCTGTTAAAGTTGAGATATTAATTTTTTTTTTTTTTTATAAAGTCAAATTCCTTAGTTGACATCCCATGTAATGTCTATCACAGTATGCAATAAATAAATTATTCAAAGCATCATAAACGATCACTTTACATAGAAATAGAGTTCTCGGCTACGCTCCGCATAATAATAAAGTTTATAATGTATTTCTTAATATCACTCGTGCCAAAATGTATGTTCGCTTCTTTCTCGAAGATCATAATTACAAAAATTTATTTAATTTAGAAAAGATAAAAGCGATAAATTCTTGATTTCATTCAACAGGATAAGGATTTTAAAAAATCCAGAATAATTTTTCAAACAATAATATTAAATAGAATAATGATTAAAAAACTGTCCATAAACACTAAGAAATGCAATCTGTGATACATAATAAAAAAAAAAAAGGGGGGGGGAGGGGAAAAGATTTTTAATATATTAAATCCATAACATATTATTGATAACGAAAAATTATAAGTAGTCAAAAACAATAGCTTTAATATTCTTAGATTTAAACTATATAGCTCAAATTATATAAGCCATCCCAAATTATGGCATTATTCCACCACTTGTTCCAATAGTTAAATAACCTCCTTTACCCTTTAGGTCCAACTTATCGAGAAGAGTATGATACAAAAATTTGTATGCCCAAAGATTACCCTTCATTCTTTTGATATCCACAATGTATAATCCAGGAAGATTCTTAAGGCGGCATAATTCTACGGCAAACCTAATTTCTTCACCTGAATCTGTTGTAGGATCACCATATAATACTTCTGGAGCTAAGGTTGAGACTGGACTATTCATTGGACTGGTAAGTGTCATAATTGGACCTATTGTAGGACTATTTGGTGCAGAAGCAGATACCGATTCGTCTGGTGTTTGATTTGATTTATAGCTGCTGTTAGATAATGATGTAAATGACAATTGGTTGGTGTTGTTTGAACTTGTACGACGCAACAAAGTTTTAAATGGTCCAGCCGAGTATTTTCTACGTTTCTTTTCAACAGTCAAATCTAAAACACTTTCAGAACCCTCAGATATTGTCAAAGTATCTTTGATCTTTGAAGATTTATCTTTAGCAGAGGATTTGTTATCAACAACCTTCTTCTTACGTCTCACACATCTAACTTTGAATTCTCCTTCACGTTTTATTTCTATACCCATACTAACTAGGGTTTGTTTAATTACTATGAAAATTTCATAAGGAGGTCGTTCAGTTAAGGCTTGATTATCGACAGCACCATGATGTAAACGAAGTTTAGTGTCCACATTATTAAAAGAAGACATTGTAGATTGACGTGATGATGAAGGAGAATTTGTACTACTATTAGGTTGAGTGACAACTAATGCAGGATTATTTTTTTGTCTCTTAGATTTACTCTTGGAGCGAATGGCAGAAATTTCACCATTTGTTGTTCCAGTTTTATCAACTTTGGGAATCTTGGTAGAATTATGTGTAGTTATAGGATCTTTTACTGTAAATAAAAAAAATTTGATTAAAAATTTAATTTAATAATTATTTAATAATTTATATAAAAATTTTATAATGTATTATTATACTTGTAACAGGATCCAACAACTTACCCAAAGATTTCCTTCTAAACCAATCCATAACTTTCTTAGCAGCACTAGAACTACTAGAAGGTGTACCACTACCGAGGGTTTTCCTCTTATCTTTTGTTTGTACATTATTGCTTGTAGCAACACTATGCGTCGAATGACTAGTAGGCCCTTTAAATGATTCAACCATTAAGCTCAAAGCTTTCCTTTTACCACCTCTTTTGCTCCTAGAATCACTACCATCATCCATAAGACTAGTTGAATCAGAAGCAGTATCAGATTGTATATCAACATTTTGAGATGGTGGTGGTAATTGTGTAGATTGTAAGGGTTGTGTTTTTGAATTAATTGAATTCGATTCTTCATTTAAATCAGAATTGATAATATTATTTGTAATTAAAGAACCATTTTCTATTGGTGATGGAACATTTTCAGTATATTGATTAATTTTTTCTGATGAAGGAATTTTTTGTTTCTTTTGGTTTACAGATGTTAATGAGTCATGTCTATCCGGAATTGCAGGTAAAGGTATGGTAGGTGGAGTGGTTACAGGAGGAATTTTTGGTTTTAGTGAATTAACATTGTTATTTTGTGATGAAATCTGGTCATTCGAAGATGCATTTTTAGAAGTTTGTTTATAACCTGGTACCATTGATAGAAAGTCTTGGGAACCAGATGGAGGACCATGTACAGTTACAGGTCTAGTGCGTGGAGCATCTCTCTTTTTGGGAGTTGGGGATGAGTTCTTTTGTAAATCCGGTTGGAAATTATCATTTGGAGGAGGTAGAACAAGATTACTATTTACATTATTAATTCTAGGAGTTTTATCTTTTAATTGACTTATATTATTTGGATCACTTTCAAATAAAGTGAATAAACCTGTGCCAGCATTTGCAGAATTTCTAGTAGTTGTTGATGGAGTTCCTGGTGGAGTACTTCCTGGTCCACTGCTTTTATCAGAATTACCAGATGCAGTTGATGTTATACTAAAATGTTTATCTGTTTTAGAAGATGATGTAGCAGCTAAATGATTTTGTGAAGTATCATTTTTAGAAGTGTCATAATCATTTATTAATATTTCTTCCTGTTCTTCAGCTAATATCATATCAGATGTTGCTACAGGTACAATTGTTGAACCAAGACGAGTTCCATCAACAAATTGAAAATCTTCATCAGGATAATCGATATAACCTTCAACATTATTATCAGGATATTCATATTCTACTTGAATGGTATGACGTTTAACGGTAATATTACCGGAAGCATCGTTTTTTTGTTCCACAACATAATCAGGAGTTAGGAAATTATTCGAAATTGAAACACCAGAATGGATATATGCATCTTGTGATACTAATGAATTCATCGGGTTTGCAGCCTCCTGTATAAAATATAAATAATAATAATAATAATAATATGAATTATTATCTTTATATAAAATTTTGATCTTATGTTTAAATTATATAAAACAATCACCTCCAGTTCTCGAATGGAATATTCAAATAATGATGCGTATGGTAACAGCCATCTAATAAAATAACAATAATAAATTAATTATTTACTAAAAACTTGATCAAATAAAAATTGATCATAATAACTTTACCTATGTGACATTATAGTCTTCATATCACATCTCTTTGCCGGATCTGGAACAAGCATTTTTCGGAGTAAATCTCTAGCATCAGGGCTTACGTATTCGGGGAATACCAACGGAGTATTAATAATATATTTGTACAACAAATTTATATTATCACCATCGGGATTTGAAGGATCATCATCGAAAGGAAGATATCCTGATAACATGGCATACTATTACCAAATAATAAGTTTATAGTCGTAGAAAAGTGAGAAAAATGAATTAAATGAATAAATATATGTAAATATATATAATATATATGTGTATATAAATATATGTACTGTATATATAAATATATAAATATATGTATATATAAATATATGTACTGTATATATAAATATATTAATTACGTACTAAAATAACGCCACAACTCCAAATATCTACAGCACTTCCAACATATAACCCTTCGCTGATTACCAACTCTGGTGCAGCATAACAAGGACTACCACAAGATGTGGCCATCAAATCGTCATGAGCACCATTGAATTGATTTGCGAATCCAAAATCTGTAATTATAATATTTCTATTTCGATCCAATAAGAGATTTTCCTTTTTTTTTTTTTTTTTTTATTAAAAAAAAAAAAAGTATATATAATAAATATAATTTTATTATTTAAAATGATAATTGATATTAAAAAGAATTTATATTTTAAAAAAAAAAAAAATCATGAATACATGGTATAACATACGAGTTTAAGATCACGATGTACAATATTTTTCTGATGTAAATAATTCACTCCACTAATTAATTGTGCAAACAGTCGACAAGCATCTCGTTCTTTTAAATATCGATGTGCTAATATATGATCAAAGAGTTCACCACCTATAATATAATATCGTATATTATATATATATATATATATAATTATTTATTGATTCATTATTATAGACATATGTAATAAAAAAATAAATTATACCTACCCGAGGCATATTCCATGATAATGCCAATATGGCGATCTGCTTCAAATACGTCATATAATTTTACGATATTTGGATGCATCACACTCTATAGACATATAT